ATGATTATCTCAGTAGATACTGAAAAAGCCTTTGACAACATCCAACATCCCTTCATGATAAATGTCTTGGAGAGATCAGGGATAATAGGAACATTCCTAAACATAAGAAGTAATATACAGCAAACCAACAGCCAACATCAAACTAAATAGGAGAAACTCAATGTGATTCCTCTAAAATCAGGTACAAGACAAGGGTGTCCACTCTCCATTTCTCTTTGACGTTCTAGCTAGAGCAATAGGAAAACAAAAGATCAAGGGGATACAAATTGGGAAGGAAGAAGTCAAACTGTTGCTATCTGGAGATGATATGATAGTTTACATAGGTGACCTGAGAAACTCCTACAGCTGATAAACACCTTCAGTAATGTAGCAGAATACAAGATTAACTCAAAAAAATCAGTAGCTCTCCTATATACCGAGGATAAACAGGCTGTGAAAGAAATCAGAAAAACATCACCCTTCACAATAGCCACAAACAACATAAAATATCTCGGGGTAATTCTAACCAAACAAGTAAAAGACCTGTATGACAAGAACTTTAAGTCCCTAAAGATAGAAATTAAAGAAGATTCCAGAAAATGGGAATACCTCCCATGTTCTTGGATAGGGAGGATCAACATAGTAAAAATGGCAATCCTACCAACAGTAATCTACAGATTCAATGCACGCAGAAGCAGAGATTCACAGCTAAGCACTGGGCTGAACTCCTGGAATCCAGCTGTAGAGAGAGAGGAGTGATGAGCAAAGGGGTCAGGACCATGCTGGGGAAACCCACAGAGACAGCTGACCTGAGCAAGTGGGAGCTCACGGACTCCAGACTGACAGCTGGGGGACTCGCATAAGACCAAACTAGGACCCCTCAATGTGGGTGTCAGTTAGGGGACTTGAACAGTCTATGGGGCCGCTGGCAGTGGAACTAGTATTTGTCCCTAGTGCATGAACTGGCTTTTTGGAGCCCGTTCCCTATGGAGGGATACCTTGCTCAGCCTAGATACAGGAGGGAGGGCCTCAGTCCTGCTTCAAGTCATGTGACAGACTTTGATGATTCCCCATGGGGAGGCCTCACCCTCTCTGAGGAGTGGATGGGGGTGGAGTGGGAGAAGGGAGAGGGAAATGGGATTAGTATGTAAAATAAGGTTGTCCTTAATTTAAATAAAAGATGTCTTCCATCAAAAACAAGATTCCATTTGTCTTAAGAGTTTCCATATCAACAGACCTGAAGGACCCACCAATCTTATGGCACTCATTACCCCAGGTCTAAGAAAGGGAAAACCAGATAGATGGAACTGACCAGCAGCCAGGACCTAGAGAAGTAGGAGCTAACAGCTAAGGGAACCTGAGGAGAGCGGAGGGAGAACTCCCTAATCCTGCAGTGGCCTCAGCTCAGACTGGAGTGATGGGCAACTCTGTGTGAACACATGACTATTTATCAGGAAGATTTCCTTTCTTTTAATAGGTTTCACAAACTTCTTATCTTATCAGACCAAGTTAAGGGGTTGGAAAGCTATTGCTCAATTCATCAAATATTTGTAGAGTACTTCTATGGTGCCAGGCCCTGTGTCAGTACAGAGAATACAAAAAACTGAAAATCAGCCCTGTCCCCAAAGACCCCACCCAATCCACTGTGTATGCCCACTGTACACACCCTTAGCACTCACCTGCTCTCTGCCCTCTACCAGCCCCATTTCTACCCAGCTCAAGTTCTTCCTAGTGAAGCGGTATATGTGTCTATAAACCCAGCACTCAGGAGGCTGAGGCAGGGTCCCAAGTTCAAAGCTAGGTTGCACTACAGAGTGAGATCTTGTCTCAAAACACAAGGAAGGAAGGAAGGAAGGAAGGAAGGAAGGAAGGAAGGAAGGAAGGAAGGAAGGAGAATAGGGGATAAATAATGTAATTATATTTTAATTGAAATTTTAAAAATTCAAATTATTTTATTAGCTAAAATATAAAAAGGTATGTTCTTGTGTTATCACCACATTCATTTACATATCCACCAATTCAAATTTATTTGTAACACTGTGGCACAGAATCAAGTTGTTATTTATAATTTTTTAAAGCTTTCGGGGCTTAAAAGATAGTGCAATGGTTAAGAATGTGTGCTGCTGTTCCAGAAGACCAAATTCAGTGCCCAGCACCCACACCAGACAGCTCACACTGTCTGTAACTCCAGCCCTAGGGAATCTGAGGCTCTCTCTTCTGATCTCTTCCAACTTCTGTACAAATATGGCGCACACACATAAATAAAAACTAAATATTTTAAAACAATAGGGGTCTAGAGAAGCAGCTTCGTGGTTAAGAGTCCTGGCTGCTCTCCCAGGGGACCTGGATTTGACTCCCAGCACCTTCATGGTGGTTCACAACTATCTGTAACTCCTGTCCCAAAGGATTCAATGTCCTCTTCTGGCTTCCTCAGGAACTACATGATGTGGTACACAAACATACATACAGGTGAAACACCCATCACATAAAAAGAAATCTCAAAAAAAAAAAAAAAATGTTTAAAGCCCACACCTTACCCAATTACCAGTCCCCAGTGAACATCTGCCACCTTAGAAAGGTGACTCCATTTGTATCTCAGGGTTGTGAAATAGATGCCATCCCCTGATTGGACATCAGCCTCTTGAAACTGTCTTTAGATCTGGGATCGACATGTAAAATAATAAGTTAAATTTAAAAAAATGCTTTGACTCCAAAATTTAAGTTGAAGGACAAGTTACTGGGGAAAGGATTTCTATTTTTGTTTCCACAGAAAATGAAAAGATGTGGATTCCTTCCAGACTAATGTGGTTTGATCACGCCAGACCGCCTGAAACAGAGTACAAGCTGATCCTACATTCAAAACAGCTGGACAAAACAGCCCTACAGACTACAGCTAGGATATCTGAAACTTCTTCAAATCCCCCATGACAGCGTCCGTTACCAGCAGGAAGCAGTTTGGAAAGAACGACGCCCAAATTCCCAAATATTGTGTATAAATGTTTGTTTTCATTTAATTGGACTTTGTTATATAAAATTAAATAAAATAAAATAAAAAAATAAAAAATTTAAAAAAAAAAAAAAAGAAAAGAAACCACATCAGCAGGATCAGATTAAGACCAAGCAATCAATCTGAGGAGTGTGCACACTACCTAACACAACCTCCAGCATGTTACTGAACCAGGACAAACTGGGGAAGAGAAATGACCAAAAAAGGAGAACAAATGAAAGAAAGGAAGGAAGGGAGGGAGGGAGAGAGGGAGGGAGGGAGAGAGGGAGGGAGAGAGGGAGAGAGGGAGGGAGGGGGAGGGGGAGGGAGGGAGGAGAGAAAGAAAGGGTGGATTTAAAATGCAGGAGGCAGAACAGTTGTGAATTCAAAGTCACCCTGAGCTCCAGATTAAGATTCTATTTTTAAAAATCATCTTATCAATTCACTTCTTTTGGAGAACCAAATGCATATACTACCTCACCCCTGGAGGCTCTAGGAAAGACTTCCTAGTTCACTGTCCCTACAGCCCTGACAAATGTCACCCAGCATTTAAGTTGGGCAATCCCTCTTTCTTTGGTACATTCCTAAAGTCTCTTGAGTAGACATCGCATTTAGTGCTGATGGTCTAAGATTGTTATAATTTGGGTCTTCGATGCTTCCCAAGGGCCCATGAGTTAAAGGCTTGGTGGCCAGTCTATTGGGAGGTCAGAAGAACTTTTAAGAGTTGGGTAGAAAATAATTAGGTCATGGTGGAGTATACACTCTTAAAGGAATATTAGGGTCCTGTTTCTTTCTGTCTTCTTTGCTTACTGGCCGCCGAGACGTGAGCGATTTTCTCCCCTGCGCACTCATTCCAAGATCTATCTATCTCAACACAGGCTCCAAAGTGACAGGGCGGACTGGCCATGGAATGAAACCTCTAAGACTGCAAACCCGAAATAAAACTCCCCTCCTTTGTGAGCTGCATGTTTGCCAGGAAGCTGGCTGGCACAGCTACCTTAATATTGACTGAGCTTTATCAGCTTTCTCCTTCTGCCTTGGGCTATTTGCAGAGACCGGGACCAGGATCCCCACCAATGTGGGCAAGCACATTTCAGGCATTCCTTCTTGCCCATAGTTCCCTGAACGCCTCACATCTCTTTAGACCTGAAGCTCTGCTGATCCTCCACAAATAAAATCACCTGCCCTGTAGACTGGAGCAACTAAACCATAGCAACTTCCTGGTCAGCAAGAGGAGGCTTAGTTTCCCCCAATTCTCCAGGGAAGGGTTTCTGAGTAAAGATAATTGCCTCTGGTTTTGTTTGGTTGTTGTTGTTGTTATTTGTTGTTTGTGGTGCTGAGAATCAAACTCAGAATACTGTGTGTGCTCAACAAGCATTCTATCAATAAGCTGCATCCCAGCCCTCCACTTTTAATACAGGTATTAGGGATGAAGGGAGTGTGCATGCCACCAAGTGAGTATGGAGGTCAGAGGTTCTTATAGGTTCTCTACTCCACTCTGTGAGTCCTGGGGATTGAGCTCAGATCGTTAGCTCATCAATCACTTTCCTTTTTCTTTCTTTCTTTCCTTCTTTTTTCTTCTCTTATCCTCTTCTTTTTCCTCCTCCTCCTCCTTTTAAGACAGGGTTTCTCTGTGTAGCTTTGTAGACCAGGCTGGCCTCGAACTCACTGAGATCCACCTGCCTCTGCCTCTACCTCCTGAGTACTGGAATTAAAGGTGTGCACCACCACCACCTGGCCCTTCCTTTTTTAAAAATTATATAGGTTCTGCCAGCAAACTCAAAGTCCTCCTCCCCCTCCCCCTCCCCTTCTCCCTCTCCCTCCCCCTCCCCCTCCCCAGTGCTGGAATTGCAGACATACACCACCACAACCAACTTGAAGTGCCTCCTCTTAATCCAGCTCTACTTCCCCTTTATGTGGGTAGGGAACTGGAGGGAACTGTTGCCAGTGTGAGGACAGGGCTACCTTCCAGACGGTAGTACCTCTGTTGCTGGTATTTGCCAGTGGATGGACCAAGGAGACACCAGCCAGCCTCTCTTCTGTCAGGCTGCAGTGAACCATTTCTTGCTGTAAACAGCCAAAAGGTACAAGGAAATTCAAGTGGGGAAAAAGCTAAGAGAAAGAAATCATAACACAGTAGGGAGTGAGGAGTCGAGGACCATTGCCAAGCTGTCGATCTTGTTCTCAGGAGTACTGCATTTCCTTTGTTTGACCAGTTTTACCTCCCACATTCCTGTAAAGAACCCGTTCCAATCTGTTACCAACAGCACCAGCCTTCTGATGGTTTGCTCTGGTGTAGGATTAAATTGTAGACACCACCCTACCCAAGCCACTCCAAGAAATCAGATGCCTCTAACGGGGGACAAGCCACACGGTCTTTAAGCAACGACAGCACCAACAGACAGCCGCAATGAAGCTTCTGGTCTCTTCCTGCCTGCTGCTGCTGCCAGTGGCCCTCATATCTGTGGTCTCCAGCAGCCCAAACCCACGTAAGTGAGATGAAATCATATTCTCTTTTCTTTCTGTCCCTCCCTTCCTCCTCACCTCTCCCCACACCCATCCGTCTTCTCCCTTGAGACAGGGTCTTGATAAATAGCCCAGGCTAACTTGAAACTTGCACTGTTCCTTCCCCAGCACACACAGATAAATTTCATATTAATGGGGGAAATGGGGTAGAAAATGTGGCAAACCGAACAACACACCCATTAAAATGTTCTTTTAGCTACCAATCCGGGCAATTAAGTTAGTCTTTCTCAGAGCCTCAGTATCCTCACTAACAAAAAAAGGGAGAAAGCAAAAAAAAATTAAGAGCCTTATATTTTTTTTAGAGCGTGCCAGTTAAGCCCCCAATGATACAAACAAGGGCAGTCCCATCACCAGGTAGTGACCATGCACTCTGTTAAAATGGTTTGCCTTTGGGAAAGCAAACCTTAGTCATGGCTCTGAATCTGTTCCCATTTTCACCAGGGCCAGTGTGGGCCCTGCCCTTCACAGAACAGCCACACAGAAGCAAGATCATCTCCATCCATGGACCTTCCTTCCTACTTGAGAACACCATTCCCCTCAGCCCCTCAGCTACTTGGGAGTGAAATAACTTGTGGCATAGGACCGTCGGCCTTCTGCAATGTCCAACTTCTCTCCTTTCTAGAGAATGCTCTTTGGAAATTTCTGGGCTCTGCAATCCTAGGGCCCAAAGCACCACCAGAGAAGGAAAGGCATCTCTATCACTATGATGATCACAGGGCTAGAGTCCTCCCCAGGGACTCAAAGCGCTACTCCAGCCCACTTTTCCAGTCCACTCCCTCTCACTCACAGGGATACACTCTATGCCCCACTGAGACGAGACCGCAGATCCCCAGCAGGTCCCATGTTTTCAAACCAGCTCAACCTTATTCCCATATTGCGCTGGAAAGCTAACACCCCTCCCACAGCCACACACAGCTCTCCCCTTGCTGACGATGCTCAGCTCAGCTCAGCTCTTATTCCCGAATCGTAGTCTGTCTCACAAAGTCAGGGTTCACCTCTTCTACTTGTCCTCCTGCCCTGCAGAATGTAACCTTAACCTTGACCTTGGCGGCACAAACTGATGTTGTTTCACACTATCTAGCATAGCACTTACTAAATATTAGCTCAAGCGTCTAAGTTAAGGGTGATTCACTTCTATAACTCTATGCCAGGGTGTGACTTTTTTCTTGTTGCTGCTAGTGTGCGTATGTGTGTGCATCGATGGGGATTAAACATATAACCCCATGAATCCTGGATGTGGGAATAAAGTTGAGCTTGTTTGAAAGGGGAGAAGGGAAAACGTAATATGTGTGTGATATGAATGTGCGATCATATTATAAACAAATTACTTATAATAGATTACTCCCTATTTGTAATATTAATTAATCATATTACTTAGGATAATAGCTGACATGTTAGGAAATCCCACGCTGCAGGCACTGTTTTAAGTGTTACAGTGAAGACACTATGGTCTCATTTTGTACTTACAAAATGTAATGGGGGTTGGAGAGATGGCTCAGGAGTTAAAAGCGCTGGCTGTTCTTCCAGCAGACCCAGGGTTCAATTCCCTGCACCCACATGGCTGCTCACAGCCCCATGTAACTCCAGTCCCAAGAGATCCGATACCCTCTTCCAGCCTCTGCGGACATTCCATGCATAGGGTGCTTGGGCATATATGAAATACTCATACACATAAAATAAAAATTAATCTTTAAAAACAGGAGGGGTTGAAGAGGTGACTCAGTGGTTAAAATCAGTCTCCTCTTTCAGAGGACCTAGGTCCAGATCCTAGCATCCCAATGGTGGCTTATAAATGTCTGTAACTCCGGTTCCAGGGGATCTGATGCTCTCCTCTGGCTCTGCAGTCACCAGACACACCATGCACAGGTGTACATGCAGGCAAAACACCCACATGTTGTGGAATAATCTTTGTGTACACTGTGAAGATGTGTCACTCTGATTGGTTTAATAAAAGACTGAGTGGCCAATAGCTAGGCAGGATTTCCAGGCACAGAGGATGCTGGGAAGAAGGACGGAGTCCTAAGGAGATGTCAGGGACACAGAGCAAGCAGCATGGGCATTACCAAGTAAAGGTAACTGAGCCACATAAAAGAGTGTAGATTAAAAGATATGGGTCCATTTAAGTTATAAGATTGACTTAGAAACAAGCCTGAGAGCCTGGCAGTGGTGGCGCATGCCTTTAATCCCAGAACTCAGGAGGCAGAGGCAGGCGGATCTCTGAGTTTGAGGCCAGCCTGGTCTACAGAGCGAGTTCCAGTGCAGGCTCCAAGTCAATACAGAGAAACCCTGTCTTGAAAAAAACATAAAAGAAAAGAAAGAGAGGAAGGGAGGGAGGGAGGGAGGGAGGGAGGGAGGGAGGAAATGAAAAAAGAAACAAGTCTAAGCTATAGGCCAAGCTTTGGTAATTAATAAGAAGTTTCCATGTGGTTATTTGGGAGCTAGCAGGCAGGACAGAGAAAGACTCTCTACATCCATACATATGAAATTAAAATTTTAAAAAACAGGAAACTGTCATTAACACAGTAACATTAGGTAGTTCCTCAAATCTTCAAAGTGTCCTAATTCTTCCACTAACCAGAACTCACATGAATAGAACTACCTTGTCACCTCGATGTCCTCCAAGCTAGGGTGGCTTCTAAGTCTTTCCTCCTCTTTCCCGGGAGTTCTACATGTTTTTGAAGAGTACTGGAAAGTAGAATGTTGTTCGTGTGGGTTTTTCCAGTGTTTCCTCATGATTAAGTTCTGCTTATTCACTTTGTACAAGAATATCACAGAAGGGCTGGCAAGAACCCTTGGTGGGTGCTTGCAATGAAAGTCTGGTGGGCTGAGTGTGACACCCAGAAGCTACACAGAGAGAATGGCCTCCACAGAGCTGTCCTCTAATCTCCACACATGTGCTGTGGCTTCACACTTCCCCCACCCACAGCACGTACACACACCATCATTAACGTAAAATGTAAAATATCACAGGGTGATGTGTCCTTTCCAGCACAGCACATCAAGACTCCAGAGTGCCTCTCCTGCTCCTGACCAGTGATCACCCTGGTAACCCTGGTAATGGGCATCTGCAGATTTGTCTCCTGTAAATAACCATCTGTGAACAGATACTTTGAGGCTATGCCAATATCCTTATTCTTTTTTAAAAGTAATTTATTTTTATTTTCTGTGCATTGGTGTTGTAATTGCATGTATGTCTGTTTTGGATCCTGGAGATATAGATAGTTGTGGGTGCTGGGAATTGAACCTGGGTCCTCTGGATGAGCAGTTAGTGCTCTTAATCACTGAGCCATCTCTCCAGCCCCAATACCCCACTTCTTTTCAACATACTTTTGTGCTACTAATTTTTAGAAGCCATTTATTCTTAAACAAATAGTGATTATTTGCTACCCAGAATTCTACTATAAGACAAAGCTCCTGTGGCTGGAGAGATAGCTTGGCCATTAAGAGAACGTGTTCTTACGGAGGACCTGAGTTCAGTTCCCAGTGTCCACGCCACCAGCACTCCAGGTCCTCCTATGCCCTCTTTCTGGCCTATGTATATGCCTACACCTACATTCACATATGCACACACACACACACACACACACACACACACACACGCGCGCGCGCGCGCGCGCATAAATAATAAAAATAAATCTATGGGAAAAAAGGCATTTCCCTTTCTTTTTAGGATGTATTTTTCTTTTCATTTATGTGTGCCTATTTCTCTGGGTGTCTATGGAAGCCAGAGTAGTTGTCAGATCTCCAGAAGTAAAATTAAAGGCAGTTATAAGCCACATGATGCAGGTGCTGGGAACTGAACTCAGATCCTCTGGGAGAGCAGCAAGGCTCATAACCACTGAGCCATCTCTCCAGGCCCTCTTCCTTTAGTTATTCACCTAATTGTTTATTCCATGTGGACTCAGAATCAGATAACCCAACTACTACCAGTATTTATTATGTTATTCACATTATCCTTTGGGTTGGTTCCCATAGTCTTTTACTATTGTTATCTTTTTTTTTTTTTTTTTTTTTTTTTTTTTTGGCAGTTCCTTACTCTCCGGCATGAGAGGTTTCAGGCTTATCCTACACTTTTCTTCTCCCTGGAATAAGCTACTTCCAGGGATCCCTGGTTCTTCTCATGGATGATACCCTTGGCTAGGATGAGCCATTGCTTCTATCTAGCCCTTCTGGTAGAGGACAGAGCTGGGAAACAACACACACATACCAATACACTATTAGCCACACTTTACAAATTACAGCAAGTTTAGCAACCTATCTTTAAATAAAAATCACAAAGTAAATATGTGGTAGAACTGACAAATCGAAATAATGGTGCATCGGCTTGGCATGGTGGTGCATACCTGTAATCCCAGGAGACTCTGTGAGTTCAAGACCAGCCTGGTCTACATGGAGTTGCAGACAAGGAGGGCTGCATAGTGAGGCCCTGTCTGGAGGAGGGAGAGGAGGAGGACAGGTCTGCCATTGGTTTGAACAAGTAGAACTAATTTTTCCCCGACATACCAATTCAAAGCCAGAAGCTAACTATAGGTGTTCTGTCTTCAGAAAAGCCAGGTGTGTTGACACATGCCTAAAATCCCAGCACCCAGAGGCCAAGGTAGAAGGGTCAAGTGTTCAAGGATATGCTCAGCTATGTATCAAGTTTGAGGCCAACCTGAACTACATGGAGCAAAGGGGTAGGGAGGTGTGGAACAGAAGGAGGAAAAGGAAGGGAAGGAGGAGGGAGGGAGGGAGGGACTAAGGCCTCAGTAACAATGACAATACCACACAAGTCCTGAACCTATGTCAGGACATGGGACACTCACAGTAGTTCATTTATATCCCATCAAGGTGGGCATTACTTATCCTTGTTTTGAAAGGCAGACACCCACAGATCCAAGAAGTATATGTCATACAGTTAAGTGACAGAGCCTGTAGGAAACCTTGGATCTATCTGGATAGAAAGTGTTTACCAAGATTAATTTTTGATGAAACATAAATTTTCTTTTTACAGCCTTAATAATAACATGTTTATCTTAACCCATTAGAAAAGAAAGTATCCTAGTATGGCCTGCTGGGTATCTGGGCTACTCAACAAGACAGAAACAAAGACAGAGGGAGAGGAGGAGAGGGTATAAAGATACGCATAATACTAAGAATACATTAAATTTATAATTTCACGCAAGGTGAGGCTACTTTGTAAAATAAATTTAGAGGGAAAGTAAGAGGAAAATAAACAAAGACTGGTACAAGTTGGGGCTGAAGAGATGGCTCAATGGTTAAGCGCACTGGCTGCTCTTCCAGAGGACCCAGGTTCAATTCCCAGCACCCATGTGGCACCTCACAACCATCCATAACTACAGTTCCAGAGGATCCAGGGCCCTCTTTTAGACTCCAAAGACACCATACACACATGTGGGACATATACATAGATGCAGGCAAAACACTCATACACAAAATAAATAAATCTTTAAAATAAAATAAATAAATAAAAATCTTTTAAAAATTAAATAAAAAAGAATGTGTTCTTGATCAGGGCATCACATTGCTCACCTATAATTCTACTACTTGGGAGACAGAAATAGAGGATATGGAGTTTAAGGTCATCCTCACTTCTGTAGTGGGTTTAAACTATCCTGACCTATAAAGACCTTGTTTCAAAATAAAATGATGACGATGATGATAATGGCAATGGTGATGATGGAATTTGTTGTACTTTCAAAATTTTCTCCAATAGAGTCACCATTCCTACACAGCTAAATGTAATCACTTGAAATTTAAAACCTTCTATATTTAGGGAGTCAACTAATTCCTCTTCAAGATTTCTTCTGGCTTTAATGTTTTATGGCTTCTTGCTGAAATCAGGAATAAAGGCCATACAAGGAGAAAATGCTGGGAAAAAAATAGAAGGCAAGGGCTGTCTGTGCCCATCTAAATTGTTTTAATAGTGCTCAAAACAGCCCATAAGAACACTGGGAAATAATGCAACCACCCAGTGGGTGGCAGAAAGGGCACATGTCTAGGAGCAGGGAGCCTGCACTGAACTACGTGACCTCTGCAGGAGCCCTCTCCAAACACTTGTCCATGCGCCTGCTGGACAAACATTAACCGCCTACCATGTGCCAGGGACAGCGAGCTCCGGCAGTGCTGTGGCTACTGCAGGAGAAAGGTTCTATTTACATTTGCTGGGAATGTCATAACAAAATACCACAACTGGGGTGGCTTTCAGGACAAATTTCATTTTTCTCACATTTCCGGAGACTGGAAATCCAAGGCTGAGGTCCCAGAAGGTGCAAATCTCTTCTAAGCCTCTGTCTTTGGCTGACAATTGGCTACCGTCTTGGCTGGGATTGCTATGGTGCCACACTGTTGATGGGATGGCTCAGCGTCATCTCCCAGTGTGCAGACAATCTCATACAGTGGAAATTAAGGGTTCCTAGGGGTCCCTTTTCACAAGGACACTAATCCCACTCCTGGGAGTTCTACCCTCAACCTAATTAACCCCACAAAGCCCCCACCTCCTAATACAATCACATGAGGGACTTGGATTCCAACACAGAGGCTCTTTTTTAAGACTCATTTATTGTACATGCTATATGAATGCTTTGCCCATGTATACGTATGTGCACCACATGCCTGCGGTGCCCCAGAGGCCAGAAGAGGAAGTCAGGTCCCCTGCAACCAGAGTTACAGTACGTTATGAACTGCCCCGAACCCAGGTCCTCTGCAACAGCAGTAAGTGCTCTTACTTGCTGCCCTGGCTCCTCAGCCCCAACGCAGAGGTTTTAAGGGGACATATTCTATTAGTGTCTTGCTGTATCATCAGTCACATGGTTTCTCCTCTGTGTGTACACATCCTTAAGGTCTTTGAGTGGGGAGGGTTGAGACAGGGACAGAGTTTCTCTGTGTAGCCCTGGCTGTCCTGGAACTCCTCCCCTCTGTAGACCAGGCTGGCCTTGAACCTACAGAGATCCTCCTGCCTCTGCCTCTCTACTGCTGGGATTAAAGGCATGTGTCACCACATCTGGCTCAAACTGGATTAAAGAACACCACAAAAGCCTCATTCTATCTTAATTGCCATTTTCAAAGCCCTATCTCAAAATATACTCATTCCGAGGAAGCAGAGATTAGATCTTCAATATGTGAGTTTAGGAGGATAGCCTCAGTCCATAACAGACTTTAAATCACAAACTACACAAGAATAATTCAAGCACAGTACTCATCTGTAATCCCAGCAATTGGAAGCAGGGTTAGAGAGATTTCTAAAAGCTCAAGGACAGCTTGGACTACACAGCAAGACCCTTTCCCAACAGAAAACACAACAAAAAATGAGCTGGTCATCAGCAGAGGAGGCAGCTGGGGGATCAGGAGTGCAGGTCCAACCCCAGCTATAACATGGAGGCCCTGTCTCAAAGACAGAATAGTTTAAATACAATATGAAACCTATGAGGGCATATTTGTGTTTTCATGGTGCAATGGATCAAATCCAGGGTATCACACATGCCAGACAAGCACATAAATTCCCAATCTGTCATTATTGACTTTAACAGGAAATATTACCAACTAAAATTAGAAAAGGTGTCATGTGTGCCCAGTTCTAGCTTGAGATCCTCAAATCTATAAGCCTTTTTCTTTGTATAATTGTGCCCTGCTTGTCTGTTTGCTGTCAACTTGACACAAACCAGGGTCATCGGAAAAGAGGGAGCCTCTGTTGAGAAAGCACCTCCTGAAGACTGGCCTGTAGGACAGATGTGGGGTATTTTCTTGACTAATGGTTGATGTGGGAGGGCCCAGCTCACTGTATGTGGTGAGACCCCTAGGCAGGTAGTCTTGGTATGTATAAGAAAGCAAAGCGAGCAAGCCAGGAGGAGCCGGGGTCAGTGAGCAGCCTCCCTCCATGGCCTCTGCATCAGCTCCTGCTCCAGGCTGCAACCTTGAGTTCCTACCCTGCCTTCCCACGAGAAGCGATGGAGTGTGGCCTCACTGTCGTAAGGTGAAAAAACCCTTTCTCCCCAAAGTTGCTTTGGGTCATGGTGCTTTATAACAGCGATAGACACCCAAGGCAAATCCCGTATTCCATCTAATTTGTTTTTCTGTGGGTGAGTATGAATGCCACACAGAGGGAATGCATGAAAGTCAGAGGACAGCCCACAGGAGTAAACATTCTGCTTCTACCATATTAGTCCCAAGGATGGAACTCAGGATGTCAAGATTGGCAGCAGGCGCCTTTTCCTGCTAAGCCATATCACCCACCCTTAAACCTTCATCCGCTGTTGTCACAGAAATGTTGTAGGGGTGGGCTTGGTGGTCAGCACCAGTAATCCCAGCTACCAGGAAGCAGGTTCAGGTGGATCACTTAAGGTTGGGAGTTAGATATACATTGGCCCACATAGCAAGAATCAGATAACAATATATGGGTGTGGGTGCAATATGTCTATCCAAGAGGAATAAACACAAATACCATCCTCTTAACAGTCAATTGGAACTGTGAATTCAAACACGGCAACTTGGAGGTCCGGTGGAAAGGCTGGTTTACTGCTACCTGCTCCTTGCTCTCTCCTAAGCCGTCAGTATGTTAATGTGGAATGTGGGGTTGTGCTCCTAATAACTCTAGGATGTGTCCCTTAGATTCAGAAGCCACTTTCTTCACTTTCTCAGCTAAGGTTTTCAGTAGGCCTGATTTTTTTTTCTTTTAAGATTCATTTACTTTTTGTTTTATATGGAAGTGCCTGTGGAGATCAGAAGAGAGCATTATAGATGATTACAAGCCCCCATGTAGGTACTGGGAGCCAAATCTGGGTTCTCTCTGCAAGAGCAGCAAGTGCTTTGAACCATTAGGCCATCTCTCCAAACTTCAGGCTAGATTTTAAGTCTCAGTTCTTTATCCATGGATAATATTCCTCTTTTGGAGAACCATAGAGGCCAGCAGTGGAAGGTGGGACGGACAGACAGAGACACGTAGACACAGTGACTGTGCTGACCTAGGGTACCCAGATAGCACAACACTGGATGATAGGAGCATAGAGAGCTTTCCCTTTCCAGCATCTGGAAATGACCACAGATGTGCTTGTCTCCAACAGGGGTCGGCAGAAGCCAAGGGAACCAACGCCAGGTTTCTGGGAGGTGGCTCCGGGAAGGCGGCCAAGAATGTGAATGCAGAGGTAACCCAGCCTTGACCACTGAGTTTGCACCATCATGACCCTAAACCTTCATCTCCCTTAAGCCCCTGAGACCAGGGCAGATGTTGTCTGAGCTAACCTCAGCATCCCCACCAGATGTGGCACCAATGCCTGCTTTCTCTGTAAGTCAGACAGGAGTGAGATGCCTACCAGGGTCTTTGTGCTCCCCACACATACTTCCCCCAAATTCCCTGTACCCTCCCAAAAGGCTTTTATTTTTTCCTGGCTCCCCCAAAAGCGTTTTGGATCCCAGTCTTAGCCTGCTGTCCCTTACAGAAAAGATTTAAAGCAGAAGAAATGTTGCCCTGAACCTGGGCCTCAGTTTTTCATTCTTTAATCCCACAAGAATATTCCAATGCCTCCTCTAAACATGTCAGCAAATCCCTAAGGTCACACACACACACACACACACACACACACACACACACACACGGAAATCCTGGGGTTCACACAGCTTGAGGTCTCCATTGTTCTCTGTCGCCCCTTTCCCCCAGTCTATATAAAAAAGGCACCAGAAGGCTCAGGAGCCCAACTCTCAAACATACCAATCTTCCCATCTAAGCAGACTGGTTCCTGAGAGCCCCGAAGAGAAAATCCACACCAGTGCTGGAGCCAGCAAGGAAGCCGTGTCCCTGTGATCATGTCAAGGGCAGTGAGAAAAAAAACAGTAAGTTTCAAGCTCATGGCCTTGCTCAAACCACACTCAGTCCACTAGAGACTCGGCAAGGCCGAGAAGAACAAAATAAACACATACATCAACCCCTACAATGTCAACTTGTAGGAAAGCAGAAAGCAAAAGCATTAGGGTAGACTTATTCTGAAACTAAGAATTTCCTAGATTCCAGAACAGCAGTATTTACCAAGGCGAAAGCAGACAGGGAGGCTATGACCTCTCCATTGATTTCTCAAGACGACACCAGTGTCAATCCAGAACAGAATTTGGCTTTTCTTTCAGTTAGCAGTTCATTTTTGTTTGCTTGTTTGTTTTCATTTTATGCATGTGGGTATCTTGCCTGCGTGTATTTAAGTTCACTATAGGCATGCAGAGCCCTTGAAGGCCAGAAGAGGGGATCAGATTTCCTGGGATGGGAGTTACAGAGGGCTTTGAGCCACCATGTGGTGATGGAGCCTCTAAAGGGGAAATCCATGCTCTTAATCACTGAGCCATCTCTCTAGCCCCACAGTCTGTATTAAAATGTTACTATACAAAAAAGTAAATCAAGGGCTAGAAAGATGACTCAGAAGATAAAGGGCTTGCAGCCAAATCTGACGGCCTGAGTTCAAACCTAGGATCCACATGATAGAAGGAGAGAATAGACTCCTGCAATCTGCTCTCTGACTTCCAAATTCTACTGTGGCATGAGTGTAACCTTACATATATGCATACGTGCACACGCACATACACACACGCGCACACACACACACACACAAAGTATTTTAAAGTTTTTGATGACAGAATCCCCTTTTATTTGTGCCCTAGGACACCAAAAGCACCACAGGAAGCCAAACAGGCCATCCAGAACCTGCCAGCAATTTCTCAAACGATGTCAACTAGCAAGTTTTGCTCTGCCCTTATAGTTCTGAGACTCTACTCTCTCAGGTCAACACTCTGAGTGGAAAAGAGGTGATCAACCATAGAGCATGTTCTTGTTCTTCCCACCCCCATCCTCACCCAAAGCAACCCAGTACTCTCAGAAGGCACTGCCCAGCTTACTGGTTACTGAGCCCTCTACTGCCTTCTTCCCTCATTATTTTTTATTTCAATATGGCTTAAATAATTTAAAATGACAGGGCCGCCATCCCTCTTTTTTTGTTTGGTTTTTTTCAAGACAAGGTTTCTCTGTGTGGCCCTGGCTATCCTGGCACTTGCTCTGTAGGCCAGGCTGGCCTCGAACTCACAGAGATCTGCCCGCCTCTGCTTCCCGAGTGCTGGGATTAAAGGCATGCACCACTACCCTGCTTTTTCCATTCCTCTTTTTATTCAGCTCCCAGACCTGTTTCCCAGAATCTTGATGTTGGTACTTGTATTTCTTAAGTGAAATAAGATCCATGTTCCTATTATATGACTGTTTTTTCAAACCAATGGACCACAAAGACCTTCTGAGAAACCAGATCCATTTGGCAGGCTTTCTGAAACTGGCCAATCAAAATTATGTAAATGCTGTAAATGCTAACAGCAAAATGTCCTGCATTTGTTTACGCTTTGCTTGCTTGCAGAAAAGAACCTACATAAGATTCTCTCTGTTGCAGCTGAGTGCTGCTTACATTCTCCTACCCCTAAGGAAGGGGCTGTAAGTTAGGCCCAGCCATGAATATACATTTTACCCTACGATATTTCGGTGTTTAGCTCCTGGTTTTCGACACCATAACACCTATGCCTTCTGTTTACCCTAAAAGAATTAAGGAAACCTCAGCTTCCTCTTGGTCTCACTTGACCATAAGGAAATGAATACATACATAATGCATATACAGAATATGTGGTATGTGAATACCAGTTATTTCAATCAAATGGTGTCTGACCACTCACATTCAATCCACATGTCCTCCTTTGCCCTGATCATTCCAAACCCCATCCCAGATTCTACACACACTTCTCCCTTCTCGACCCTCTCTCTCTCTCCGTTGTGACCCTTTATTCTTTCACTCATTCTAAGGTGTAACATCTGGATGGGGTATAGAAGGCAGCACTTAATCAGATTCTCCCTGATTTAAAATAATGAAGGGTGAGAAATTGTGGTTTCTCAGCATCTAGACATCCTTCGGTGCTTATGTTCCCTATCATCATCCCAATTGCTATTACTGCATTCTGTGGGTTTCTGATGCGATACAAGAGATATAAATGTGGAAACACAATTCAAAGTTATAAAGATATGAAGGATCTCAGCCTAAATTCAAAAGGGCTTTGACCTATAAAAATAGGACGACTTGGTTTTTGTTTTGGTTTTTTTTTTTTTTTTTTTTTTACTTTTTAGCATGGGTATAAAATGATCAACTGGAAACTAGTTGTAAGGATTAATGAAGAGGAAACCATTATTTAAGTATATAGACTCCTCAGGTATTCTTCTGGTATCAGGAACAGGAAAATACTGAACTATGGTGGTACCCACCTGTGGTCACAGAGCTTGGGAAATGGAGACAAGAGGATCATGAGCTTGAAGCCAGCCTGGGCTACATGAGATTCCCATCTCTGTGGACAGAGAGCACTCATCCAGCTCATCTGGAATCATCCCAGATGAAATAAAAGACTAAAGTAAGATGTCTTATGAGAAGGGCAATTGGCCATTTTAACTGAGTGGTGAAAGGGGTGGGGCCCATTTATGACACAAGAGGACAGCCCCTCCCTTCTTGTAAAACAATAGTGGGCACATAAGCCTCCTCCTTAGTCCTAACCCTCTCCCAAAGTAGGAGGCACGGAGTGGTCACTTGGGTGGAGGTGGCAGTGATAAAACCACAGGCCAGCTGTAAAGGAGGACCAGGAATGCCAGGACGAGGGATTAGAGCCCAAGGGGAGGTGCCATCATGAAAGACCTGTGAAGACAGAAACCTGAGGGGTAGGGGCAGAAGGATGAAGCCTAGGAGACCAACTTCTTTCACCAGGGAAACACCAACTACAGAGCCAGACTCTTCCTCAGTATCTAGACCAGAATGGAGCCCTGAGACACAGCAGACACCCATAATCCAGCCAGACCCTGGGCCAGAAAGAACCCTCACAGACCATCCAGGGTCAAAGATGCTGCAGGAATTTGATACTCCACAGAAACAAAGTCTCCAGCAAGAGCCCATTGCCCAACAGGAAGTTGAATTCCAGCAGGGACCAAGAGTTCCACAAAAACCTCCTATGCTCCCGAAAGTCCTCACCCCAGTAGTCTCCCCTGCGCCACAGCAACAACCTCCCACCCAGGATCAACAGGAAGCCACCTTCCACTGGGGACCAGAGGCAGAGACAGTATCTACAACTCAACAGGAACCACCACTCAGAGAAGAGCGTGCGTGGATGACAGGATCTGGACCTGCAGAACCACCTCAAGCTCCACACGAAATGGAGGCAGCATCTACAGCCCAGGCTGGACCTGGACCCCAAGAGAAATCCCCCGCTCAAATTTACTCTCCATCCCAAGAGAGACTTGATCCTACAACCCAGCAAACTCCTCTAGTCCAAGCAAACAAACCCAAGCAGGGATCTTTGATGGAATCCGGGTTTTTGACCAGGCTGCATGACCTATCCATACACCGGACAGCCCAAGAGTGGAAGACATTTTTTGACTGGATTACAGAGTCTGACACAGAGGAACATCTCAGTTCATCTTCAAAGTCAAACCTTCCAGAGCCAAAAAGTGAAACGGTGATTGCGGGAACGCCACTGCCCTTCAAAATGAAACCTGATTATGAGAACATGCCCGGATACAGCGGGAAATCACCACAGGGGATGAGAACCAACCACAAACACTCCTGGGACACAGGTGAGTCTGAACCTGGAAGACTGGAGTCTCCCAGGGCCAGTCACTTATCCGTGCCAAGAATTTTTTGTACTTGGGGTTATAAAGCTCAGGTCATCTTTCAACAATGCACCCCACCCCCACTCTGTAGAGAACGATGCTGAGGCATAAAAGTGAAGGATTTTGCACAAGATCCTGCCGTTTGGGAGCAGCAAACAAGGTTTTCTCCCTTTCTCCCTTTACACCAGGCTGCTCCCCCCCCCAAAAAAAAAACAGATTTGTAGAAAGAGCCCTATCTCAAGAGTCAGGTAAAAGAAACCACCCTCCTACCAGCATTCATTCACATGAGTCGAAAAAATAAATAAATAAATAAATAAATAAATAAATAAATAAAGGCAGAGTGCTAGCTAAAGCAACAGCAGCACAATGTCCGGGGGTCGGCCGGGTGCTTACCTTTTGAAGTGGTGTAGATGAGCTCAACATGGGGGCGTTCACAGCCTCTGCGTGGAGCAGATCCTGCCTTTGCCAACGGGAACACTCGCTCCCCGGCCGGGCGCCTCCACGGCGGGCCCAGGCCCAAGGAATGACTGTTGGATGGCAGATAGAAGCTGGGGAGAAGGGCCTGGGAAGGGCTGTGGCCAAGTCAAGGCTGGATGGAAACAGGTGCCCGCCCGCCCGCCCGAGGCTGTGTTCTTCGGGTGCCTCCTCGGAAGAGAGGACAGGTAACACGGTGGAGCCCCCACTCCCTGCCGAGCTGTTTCTCCAGCAATGCTTTCCTTCTCCCGGTGAGGGAGAAACACTCAGTCGCATCTGCCGAGCGTGCTTGCGATCGTGCGCTAACCCAGAAGCGGCTGAGGAGAGCTCGGGGAGCCACGTGTGTGCGCGTAGGGGAGCCTTGGGCATCCTCTGTTTCCCGCCTTTCCCGGGCACGCGGGCTCCCTCAAGCTAGGCTGCTTTCATAGGTCTGCAAGCTGCTGGGCAGACGCAGCACGTTCCCTTCTTCTTCCCCACCCAATCTCCTCCATCCCTTTGAGGCTGGGGAAGGAGAGGGAGAACTAGTAGGGAGAGCGTGTGTGTGTGTGTGTGTGTGTGTGTGTGTGTGTGTGTGTGTCTGTCTGTCTGTCTGTCTGTCTGTCTGTCTGGGTGACACAGCGACAGAGACAAAGTGACAGGCAGCAGTTGTTGCTCTGGGAGGTCGAGGACTGCCTAGGCTCCACGGTGGGCTCCAGACCAACCTCAGCTCCAGTGCACACCCCAGTCTCAAAACTTCGGGGAGAACAAGTGGGGGGGCGGGGAAAAGGCGGGGCTTGCCTAACGGTACCCAGCGCTGCCACGCCCCCAGGTCGGCGCCGCCCAGGTTGCCCGAGGACCTGGCCCGGCCCCTGCGCGCTGGTTCCTGCGGCTCCTGGGGCAGGCGGGACGGGCCGAGTTCACGGGAAGGTGAATGGGATGGCGAGGCTCGGCACCTACACGTGACACGCCCGGCACGGCTGTCGGGGTGACTCTGGCGCCCCTCCTCACTGTTCCTGCCCCGTGCAAACTTTTCGCCGCCTCCGGGGTTGCATCTTGTTGTCGTTGCCGTGGTTGGCTGCGGTTCCTTTAACCTGAGCGAATGGGCGGGCCTAGCGGAGAGCCAGCCCAGGAATGGATGGTGTGTGGGGGCGGGCCGAGGATTGACAAGCCTCGACTGCTGGAACTGCGCCCGCGCCGGGACTGGAAAAAAATTGATGGAGCCAGCGGTGGAATCGCGGACCGCGGGGGTACAGGCCTCCAAGCAGGCCAAAGAAGGGTCGAAGAACCGCAGTCGCAGGCGGTGGCGGAAAGGCAAGGTCAAAGGTGAGCCGGTAGCAGCTCGGAAGAAAGTCCGCACGTCCTGCGGGGTACTGGGGGACGGGGTGGACTGACCCATTTCCACAACGGGGGGTTAGGGGAGGAGGGCGATCCGTGGACCGACCCATTGCCGTCCTGCGCGAGGGGGGAGTAGAGACCATCCATTACTAGAAGGGGTAATGTGAGAGTAGAATGTCCCACCAGGCGTAAGGACTACCGGCTGTCCCAGTGAGATCCTGGGAGAAGTGTCCGGAATGAGAGTCTTTCGGAATAGATAGGGTTCGCGGTCGGGTTCGTTATTCTCTGTGTGACCAGGAGCAACAGTTGCGCCCTTAGTGTTCTCAGCCTGGGAAATGAGTCAAACGTCGATTTTCATGTCTTCTGCACTCTTAAGAGGATAATGGGAAAGTATTTTAGCCGGTTTTGCCGAAAGAAAAACAAGTATAGGCGTGTGAAAGGTAGGTGGGAAGGGTACCAGTAACTGGAAAAAGCTCCTCACAACCCCTTCTGCCACGAGCAATCAATCCATCCATTTGCTCAATGGCAATCGACCTTCGTCAGCCCAGTAACACTGGGCGAAGCTCCCGATTCTCACGACTTCCAAAACAGAGCTTTTAAGCTTTGCACCTCCACACGTTCCTAAGGGAGAGGGGAGGGCTATGCTATTGTCTGGCTTCCCTGGACCTAGAAGGCTGCAGAAACAGTGGCAGACCAACCAAAGATGTTGAAAGACTCAGAGCAGGCATTAAGTCCTGGCTCAGTTATGAATGAGTCTTGTCTATTTTGTGGTGCTGCTGATAGCCAAACCTGGGGCCTGGTGAATGCTGGCAAGTACGCCACCATGCAGCTCCACCTGCAGCCCATGAGTCTTTGTCAGACCCAGTGAGAGGTCCCTATGCAGGCAGAAAAAAAAAAAAAAAAAACTGGCATGGCTCCCCAGCCCCAGTGACCCCAAATTCATCATTCCCTCTACCTCCTTTGGTAGACAATGCAATGGTACATTACAATCAACCCTAGAGTGCATATACTGGCCCAGACAGCTCAAGCTGGAGACAGAAGAGTTTTCCTGTCCCACAACTAAGATACAGTTTTGGACCTGTGTCTTAGACATGTTTCTCCCAAGTGCTATGCTCTCTCCCCTCAGCACACAATAAGCCAGGAGAGTTTGGTATGGGTATACTGTCTGTCTCTACTAAACACTGAGCTCCTGTGTCTGCCTTGTTTACCTAGAATGCCAGACACACGGACATTCAAATATTTATTAGATTGATAAGTGAAGGAATGTGTGAAGCATGACATGGGGCTATTAACAGCCAGGCTGCCCTGGTGTCTGAAGAGTCAGAAGGAATCTGCTTGAGTAAGGCTGCTTGCACAGGGCCCAGTCAGGCCTACTCACAAAGGCACGAATTGCTGGTCATTTCCTGAGGCCCTTCCTGGTGCCAGGCCTCAGACCTGTGAATCTTCTCCCACCCCTGCCCCAAGGGTATCCTGACTGGCTGGAGCAGTCTTTTATCCATGTGATCTTGCCAGTAACTGGATGAGACTGCTGTCATTATCATCAGTCCATTTCCCAAATGACGACACACAGGGGCACTCAGCCAGCTGGGCTTCCTTACCTCTCTGAAGGCAGAGAGACACCGTCAGCCTTGTCAGGGCAGGCAGTGTGTGCATTAAAAACTGCTGTATGCCCCAACCTTAATTCTGGATCTAAGTGACTCTAGTCACTAAGATTTAATCTCCAGGCATTCACTCAACACCTAGGCTTTCTGTGACTAGCAGGACAGACTCAGTAGAGCTGGGGACACAGATAATAAGACCATTGTCATTGCCAAGCGTGTGGCACACAACTCTGATCTCAATACTTGGGACACCTGAGTCAGGAGGATCACCATTAGTTGAAGGCAAGCCTGGACTAGTACGTTGCAAGCCAGTCCAGACTCCTACAGTAGAGTGAGACTCTCTCAACCTCTCCCACCCACCCATTTTAAAAAGTCTATCGTAAACAAGCCAATGAGATAAATACAGTAAGAGGAAAAATCTCAGAGCTGGGGATGTAGCTGAGTTACTACTTGTCCAGCATGCACAAAGTCCTAGGGTCTGTCTCCAGAACCACGTCAATTAGGCATGGTGGCATACACCCATGACTCAGAAGTAGATTGGTGGAGGCAGGAGGATCAGAAAGAAGTTTAAGGTCATCCTTGACCGCAGTCAGTCTGAGACCAGCCTGGGATACATAAGAATATGTATCCTGTCTTCAAAATCCTGAGAAAATGATCACGGAAAGCTTTCCAAGGAGGTGACATCAGACTCGTGGACGGCCAGGCATTAACTACTAAACAAGGGAGGTAGGGAAAACAGAAAGCAGCGTGAACAAAAACCCTGATGCTAGCTGGAGGCAGTGGCACACGCCTGTAATCCCAGCACTCGGAAGGCAGAGGCAAGGGGATCTTTGTGAGTTCAAGGCCAGCCTGGTCTACAAAGCAAGTTCCAGGACAGCCAGGACTACACAGAGAAACCCTTTCTCGAAAAACAAATGCACACAAAAACCTTGATGCTGGAAGGAGCAGCATGTGATAATACGGAGACAGCTCCTGGTGGGAGAGAGGCTGTTGGCAGGGGCCTGGGCAGGCAGGGAGGCCATGTCCAAGATTGAGACTATCCTGAGAGAAGGCAGGGAAGGGCTGGAAGAGAGTGATGAGTTTTATGTTCTCAAACAACCCTCTGGATGCCTTGCAGGAAACAGTCTTAAATTAGAGGCACACACAGAGCCAAGCAGGGGCGTTATAGAGCAGGGGGAGCAGGGACGTGGGAACATGCCAGGTTCTGAGGTTCCTAGGACATAGGTGGACAGGGCTGGTGATGGCTTAGATGGGGATAGGGTGAGGGAAATGGGCACGATAACTCCTTAAGTCTCTGCTTGAGCAAATAGTGAGTTCTATTACCAACACACCCGTAACACCATGACACCCACACATGTATAGAGATTCTTCGTGTTGTTTTTATTCTTGTTTACTTTTTTGTTTTGGAGGCATATATATCCCAGGCCGGCTTTGAACTCACTGTGTAGTCCAAGATGACTTTGAACATCAGATCCTCTTGCCTCCACCTCCATAGAGCTGGGATTACAAGTGTGCACCCACACACTCAGTGTATATGATATTGGGAACCAAATCCAGGGTTTTACGCAAGGTAGGCAAGTACTGAGCCACACACCCCCAGTGTATGAATTCACGAAAACATGAACACATCCCCATACAGAGCTGAAAAATCCAAGACAAAAGCATACACTCCCAAGAAACACACACAGGTCATGACACTTGCATGCAGATACAAATACCTTCAGCCATATCAAGAAACATGGAAGGATATTGCCCAGATACATCCCCAGGGACCAAAGTCCAGGCCTGATACAGCTGACAAGTGGCTTCTCTGTGCAAAGGGCTGAAGGAGCTGGGAGCTGATTCAAAGGCAGAACATTTGTGCAAGTTTGATTCCCGGCACCGAAGGGGAAAGGCTCCCAGGGCAAAGGGCTGAAGCCCCTCCCCCACTGCCATGCCCTGCTCAGCCCTACCTTTTGCCCCATTCCTGCCATGCTCACCCGTGGTCCCACTGGGTCTGCCCTCACCCCAGTGCCCTCTGCCTGGGATCCTGGCAGTCTCAATACCCCCCCCCCCGCCTCCAGTCAGCCCAGTCTTCGGGGAGCTACCGTGAGTGGGACAAAGAGCAGGCCCTGAAGCCACAAGGGCTTGGGGACCCAGCCTTTTCCCTACTACTTCATCCAAGTCAGATGTTCTTCCAAGAGTGTTCTCCCATGTGCCTGGTGGCAGGGGGGACTGCGGCGGGGGGCAGTGGAAGAAGCCAGGTTCACCTTCGTCTCGGGGTGCCTAGAATCTCATGGGGAGACAAAGCAAACACTGTGATTAGGAAGTCATCCCCTGTATTAGGGTAGCAGCAAGGCCTGCAGTGCGAAAGAGCCAAACACACCACATCAGCATGGCTGAGCTGAGTGAGCCACAGATCAAAGCACCACTTCCCGGGGCTGGGGATGGAACCCACTAGTGGCCCATCATCCGCCCCCCTTTCTGGGCAGACTGGCCCAGCACTGCTTCACCCCAGCACTTAGCCAACGGGTGACCTGGGCCAGAGCCCCATAACTACTACTTAGCTTAACTGGCCCCTGAGGCTCTGGCCCGTGTCTATCTTTGCTGGTCCTGGGAAGGTGCAGCTGTCTCCCAAGTTCCCGGCCATTGCCTTTGGCCCTCCCTCTGCCCTTCACGTATCGGCCAGTGCGTGCTAGCTCTTCATCAAGGAGACAGTCCAGGGACAGAGACGGAGGAGTCGCCCACAGTCAAACAACTGTTGCTGAAGCCTCAGGGCCTCCATTTGCCACCGTTCAAACGCCTGACGCCTGATTCTTATCTGTAGCCTGTGTTCTTCCTAAATAGTCATACTCCATTTTATGAGCTTGGCACCTCCATAAAAATCTGCTTCTGACCAAGAGGAGGGGGGCATAAAGGGATGACTGCAAAATGTGTCCATGCTAAGGTAGAAATAAGCCTTGCGGGTGAGTGGGGGCGGACTTTAGAGATGGGAGGGAGCATCTCCAGAGGGCTGATGGTGAGGAAGAGCTGGCTGGGCCAGGAGCGTGTGAAAGACCCAGCTAAAGTACCTGAGCCTTGGTTCCCCCCCCCCCCCGTAACATGTGGCGTTGACTGTCACAGCAGCGTGGGCTGTGGGAGTTAAGAGGTACACGGACGATGTCTGTGTAGGGATAGCATAACACCCAGTAGGGCCTGAGAGTCAGGCCCCTGGCTGAGTTTGGTACTGCCCTTAATCAGCTTTTGTCCTCCCCCGAGGAAGAAGCAGGGCTGGCCCCCTCTTTTTCCCTAACAGCTGGGGACATCTGTGCCAGGGCCAGTGTAGAGGGTGGGGACTGACATCACTGAGCCTTTGGCTCCCTGAATCCACTTGGGGGAGAGGGAGGGCAGCTTAGCTGGGTGAGAGGGGACAGTGTATTCAGGATGAAGGCTGGGACTCCTGGGGCATGGGCTGCTGGGTCTAAGCAAGGGGGGGGGGAGAGGGGCTGGGACTCCTGGGGCATGGGCTGCTGGGTCTAAGCAAGGGGGGGGAGAAGGGCTGGGGCTTGAGGCTTCTAAGGAAGAGGAAGGATATAAGGACTCTATTGCGCTGGAGAAGCAAGCAGGCAGGAGGGGTAAGGAGTTGAACTCTGGGCTCTGGATGGGAGGTAAACCAAATTGCCACGCCCTGACCAAGCTGGTCCCAAACTCCCCCCCCTTTATCAACCCAGGCTGCTACTGGCACTAGCCACAGACCTGCTGTGCCAGCTTGGGGAGCTCCAGTCCGAGGAGGCCAGGGAGGGGTGAGTGCAGGGCCAGCTGAGAGACAGAAATGGCTACTGCCCGAAACCCCAGGGTCTGAAAGGGAGAAGAAGCGCTATCTTCTAGGGAAACAGGGGATTGCGAAGCCAGGAGCCAGGCAGGGCCCTAGCTTCCAGAGGGAAAGGATCACTTGGGAAGGTTATAACACTAACCCCACCAGAGTCAAGGGCAACCTATCCGAGATGTGCTCAGTAACAGAGAAATCTAGGGAGAACACGCACTCTGCAGGGAGATCAGAGGGGACCCTGGATGTGGGGAGCTGAGCAGAGCACAGAGCTGGGTTTTGAGGGACAAGCAGAAGGTGAGCTTTGAGAATCCTAGGAGCAGCATTACGTACGTGGGAACTCTGGACCTAGAAATTGAGGTTTAAATGGGCTCTGTCATTATCCACAAAACCTCTGGCTTCTTACTGAGCCTCAACTTCCCCTCTGCAAAAGGGGATGCTGGCAGTAATAGAGATCTGAACCAAGGCATTCTGGGGCTTTGGGATCAAACCTTAGCGTGGGCGTGACTGGGGATCAGTATTAGGTATATGAACTGCTGTTTCAGGACAATGCAAGTTAGGCAGGTGGGCAAGTCTGAAAGCCAGGCAACCGTCTAGAGAAGGGATGATGAGTTTGGAAATCCACAGGGAACAAGAAGGAGTTGGAGTTTGGGGCCAATTCTACAGGGAGGAATTAGAGCTCAGAAGGAGGGCTAGGTGAAGGAGGAAAGTCCCAGGAGAGAGTAATGGCCGGACTGGGGGGGGGGGTACATTTCCAACCACTGTTAAAGGGGAGGGCTTGTGGGCAGCACCAGGGCCTTGAGGAGGAAACTTGGAATGGGGCTTGAAGGAGTGGGTCTTGAGAAAGGGAGCCGTTGGCCATCCAGATTTCCCGGAACAAGAAGGACAAGTCTAAAGAGAGTAAACAAAGAGAGAGTTCACCCTTGAATACCTGGAAGGAAGAAGGAAGAGGGTGGACCGGCTTCTGGGTTAGAGAGCATCACCAGTGAGCAGGGTTCTCTTGGGGCTCAGGGGACTGGACTCCTAGATCCAGGAAGGAGGGGATAGAGAAGGGGCTGCTCAGTCTGAGAGCTTCAGCCCTCAGCTGCTAGGCAGAAAGAGAGTGAGGCCCCAGACTTCCGGAAGACAAGGAGATGAAACCCTAGGTGTGAGAGAGAAGACGATAGAAAGCCCCTGGGATAGACACCTGAGCCTGAGGAAGGAAGGGGCTACCACTTTGCACTCCTGGATCTAAGCAAGGATGCCCTAGGTTTGAATACTTGGGCCTGAGGGAAGAGAGGTAGGGCCTGGACTCCTGGACCAGACAGGGCAAGGGTAACCACAGAACTTCCCATCTTCCACAGCCTCGGCATTCTCACACAGCATGGATCTGCGCACGATGACACAGTCGCTGGTGACGCTCGCGGAAGACAACATGGCTTTCTTCTCAAGCCAGGGCCCTGGAGAGACAGCTCGGCGGCTGTCCAGTGTCTTTGCAGGTATTCGAGAACAGGCGCTGGGGCTGGAGCCAACCCTAGGCCACCTGCTGGGTGTGGCACACCATTTTGACCTGGACACAGAGACACCAGCCAATGGATACCGTAGCTTGGTGCACACGGCACGTTGCTGCCTAGCACACTTACTACACAAATCCCGCTACGTGGCCTCCAACCGCCGAAGTATCTTTTTCCGTGCCAGCCATAACCTAGCAGAATTGGAGGCCTACCTGGCTGCTCTCACCCAGCTCCGTGCCCTGGCCTATTATGCCCAGCGCCTGCTGGCTATCAACCGACCAGGGGTGCTCTTCTTTGAGGGTGATGAAGGACTCACCGCTGACTTCCTGCAAGAGTATGTCACGCTGCATAAAGGCTGCTTCTACGGCCGCTGCCTGGGCTTCCAGGTGAGTCCCTTGCCCCCTTCCCCTCTGGACTCATGGTGAAGGCACTGGTGAATGGTACCTAACCACAGTGATGAGAATTACTGGATTCGGGGATCAGATCACAGATCGGCAGGGAGAGTTGGCAGGAGCTCGGGGCTGGACTCTGGGGTTCTCCAACTCATGACCCACGACTAGATCTACCATGTATCAGAAGCCTCCTCACCAGCTGGACCTGGTACCTCAGGCCTGTTACACCCCCACTACTTAGGCAGCTGAGGCAGGAGGATTGCAAGTCCAAGGCCTGGCTGAGCTTACAGAGTGAGATGAAGGCCAACCTTGGTGACTTAGGGAGACCCTGTTTCAAAAGTCTGGGGCTGCAACTCACCAGTGACACACTTGTCAAACATGCACGAGGTCAGAGCTTCAATCCTCAGCAAAAGGAGTGGGGGGGGGGCGTTTGCTCTTGTTCCTCTTCCTCTTCTCCTCCTCCTCCCCTCTTCCTCCTCCTCCTTCTCCTCCCCCTCCTCCTCCTCCCCCTCCTCCCCCTCCTCCTCCCCCCCTTCCTCCCCCTTCTCCCTCTCCTCCTCCCCCCCTTCCTCCCCCTCCTCTTCTCCTCCTCCCTCTCCTCCCCTCCTCCTCCCCCTCCTCCCTCTCCTCCCCCTCCTCCCCCTCCTCTTCTCCTTCTCCCTCTCCTCCCCCTCCTCCTCCCTCTTGCTCCTCCTCTTGGTGCTACAGAAGGAACCTAGAGCCTCACCGAGTGGTAGGTGCGTGCTACACTGAGCGTTCCCCCCAACCCCCTCACTCTTCTGTAGCCCCCGAGGTTCACTGAATCTGAGCCCCCTAGGAGGATTGTCAGTATTGATCTCAGAGGTCCATTCTGAGGCGGGAAGAAGGTGCCAGCCCACAGATGTCAGATTGGTAGGTACCTGGGCTTCGTTTCTATAGAAACCACATCATTTCTAGACAGCCTTCAGAACAGGACCAACACACCCATCAGAGCTAACGACGAGGGAGACCTGGATGTTGTCGGTGTCTTCCCTGAACAAGGCGTTCTGGCCCGGCCTTCTCCTGCCTTTTTGCCCACCCCAGCCAACTCAGAGAGGTCAGCCTGGAAAGTGAGGCAGTCCAATACCCTCCGGAGGCTGAGGCAGGAGGATGACCTACAAATATGGGCTAGCTTGAGCTACATCCTATGTCCCAGGCAAGCCAAGGCTAGGTAGAAAGACCCTGTCTCAAAAATAAATAAATCGATGACTTGGGGACTGGAAAACTGGGGACACAGAAAACTAAAATCGGAACGGAGGCCCACGTTGGTCCTGTCTGGGACCATGCTAGCTCCAGGCAGCCCCAACCAGCTGTGTCAAGAACCGTCAGCCCTGATTTCGGGAGTCCTTCCCGCCCTCTCGCCTCCTCTCACTTCTCCGAGAGATGAGCCCGCCACTCTTTCTGCTCGCCTGCCCCTGTCTAACATTCCAGGCTTTCCCCTCACCCCGACTAAACCTACAAATACGGACCTGGCCACAGAGCCAGCTATCTGTGTCCCTGCTTTCATGTTCTGGCATCAACACTGGAAAGGAAGAAATTCCAGGCTGCCTGAATCAGTGTTCCAGCCACAAAGGCCAGGAGCTCCTATGCTCTTTGGCCTACTGGGTTCCTGGCCAGGAGCTCAGCCTGGGCCACCTGCCAGCTCCTGAGGACACAAGCTCTGGAAGGTGCAAGGCTGCATCATCCTCTAAAATGTCAACTTGCGGGAAGGCAGAGGCCCCAGGTCTCAGATGCTGCCCAGTCCTGCTCCTTCCAAAGCCCAGCAAGCTGTGGGACAGTTGATTGAAGAAGAACTCTGCCAACTCCTTGCCTTGCCTCCTGAAGCTGAGTCTCCTCTGCTGCTCTCACTGTCTGGCCGTCTGTCCCCGCTCCACCACCTGCCATGTGTCTCGCCTGTCTTCTCTGACAGCCATCTATCCCTTGTCTGGGCCTCAGCTGATCTCCCCAAGTTTCGTCTCCCTGCCATGCATCAATTCCCCATTGCTGGCTTTCAGTTGCCCTGTGCCCAGCCCCCAGGGGTTTCCGACTTCAGGACGTTTCTGTGCGCTCTGACCCCCCTAGTTCACAGCCCTCAGATGCTCCCAGCCAAGCCCAGTCCCCCCGCTGGGACCCTGGAAGAGCCTTGTTGGCCTCTAGACCTCCCTGGCTCACTCTGCTCCAGGCACACCATTGTGTTCTCTGTCCCATGTCCCCTTCACTATGCCTCCTTCCCATGCATCTTCAGCCTCCTGGGAACGACCCTGTCCTCGTTTAGATCCCTACACCCGCTGGCCGGCTAGCCTGGCCCGTGGTCATCACTGCAGCCCACCCACCTAGCACCTTTCTTCAGCCCGGTAGTTGATTGAGGCATTACCCTGCACATGTCTTTATTTGCTCATCCTTTCCTTCCCCTTTGAGGACAGACACCTAGTCCATGAAGGGGCCCAGGGTGATGCCCAGCACACCATAGGAGCTCGTTAAAAGCTTGCTAAATGTATGTGCCTACGCCTCTCCGTGTCCCATCTCGTGCCCCCCCCCCCCCGCATCTGTCTTGGACGGTTGGGTGACACGGGCATCCCTTCACAGTTCACGCCTGCCATCCGGCCGTTCCTGCAGACTCTCTCCATCGGGCTGGTGTCCTTCGGGGAACACTACAAACGCAATGAGACAGGCCTCAGTGAGTGGGGGCTGGGCCCTACCCGCATCCTTTCCTGTCCCCCTTTCCAAACCCAGCCGAGTACCATGGTCCCCACCAGATCTCCCTGACACCCCTCCTGACCGCCCCCCCCCCAGGTGTGGCAGCCAGTTCCCTCTTCACTGGTGGCCGATTCGCCATAGACCCAGAGTTGCGTGGGGCTGAGTTTGAACGCATCATCCAGAACCTGGACGTGCACTTCTGGAAAGCCTTCTGGAACATCACTGAGATCGAGGTGTTGTCGGTGAGCTCGGGAGCAGGGGAGAACCCCCAGCATGCTCACAGACGGAAATTCTGAGTTCCGGACATCCGGTGGAGACACAGTCTGTCAGCACAGGGGCCCAGGCCCGAGGATAGCACAGACAGACGGGGCTGGGGAGGGGAAGAACGTGGTGTGTCCCCCACCACCCCCATAGCCCGCCCTTAGCACACCTTCTGCCCCTCTGTTCCCTCCCCAGTCCCTGGCTAACATGGCATCAACCACTGTGAGGGTAAGCCGCCTGCTCAGCCTGCCACCCGAGGCCTTTGAGATGCCACTGACCTCTGACCCCAAGCTCACAGTTACCATTTCACCTCCCTTGGCCCACACAGGCCCAGGGCCTGTGCTAGCCAGGCTCATCTCCTATGACCTGCGGGAAGGACAGGTAAGCCCCTGGGAGTGGCAGCTCCAGCCCAGCACCCTGAAACCCCAGGCCTACCCCCTGCGGGGGGGGGGGGGAGACCCTGACAGACCACCCTCCCTTCTCACCTCTAGGACAGCAAGATGCTCAACAGCCTGGTGAAATCTGAGGGCCCACGCCTGGAGCTGCGCCCACGGCCCCAGCAAGCACCCCGCTCACGGGCCCTAGTAGTCCACATCCATGGTGGTGGCTTTGTGGCACAGACCTCCAAATCCCATGAGCCCTACCTCAAGACCTGGGCTCAGGAGCTGGGGGTTCCCATCTTCTCCATTGACTACTCCCTGGCCCCCGAGGCCCCCTTCCCCCGAGCGCTGGAGGAGTGCTTTTTCGCCTACTGCTGGGCTGTCAAGCACTGTGCCCTGCTCGGTGAGCCCAAGGCCCCCCGCTTTCACAGATTTCCCACCACCACATGCCTAGCCCTGGCCACCCTCCTTCAACCCCTGGCGCATCCTGCAGAGGCACTAAGCCCCTAATTCCTCAAGCCTCCCCCCCTGCTGTGGGCTAGCCCCACTGCCCACCTTCTGTCTTGGCCAAGACATCTCTGCCTCCTGCTTCCTACTCCAGCCTTCGCGTCTGGTCCCTCCTCTTCCCGCCTCCCCTTTCCTCCCCAGCTGCCCCCCACCTGCTCTCCTGCCTTGCCAGTCTGCGGCGCATACGCCCGCCTATCTGGCAGGTCCTCACACCTCCCTCTTGGGATGCCAACATTTCAGACACCAGAGCACAGAGCAGGGAGGGGCTGTACCCAATCTGAACCCTGACCTTTGGTGTCCCAACTTCTGATGTCCCTATCTTGGGGACACTGCTCTTGAGCTCCTGCCCTTGCTGCCCCCCCCCGACACCCCAGCTTCCCTAGAACTTTGTCTCTGTCCTCTGACCACTACCTACCACATGGGGTCCAAATCCAAGCTGCTTCTTGCCAGTAACTAAAATAGCTTGATCTTCGATGCTGCATACCCCACGTGAGAGCCCAGCTCTCCCAAATCATGCCAGGCTATGACTGGAGCCTTCTCCCCACAACTAGGTTCAACGGGAGAAAGGATATGCCTTGCAGGGGACAGCGCAGGTGGGAACCTCTGCATCACTGTGTCCCTTCGGGCAGCAGCCTATGGGGTGAGGGTGCCAGATGGCATCATGGCAGCCTACCCAGTCACCACCCTGCAGCCCTCTGCCTCCCCCTCTCGTCTTCTGAGCCTCATAGACCCACTGCTGCCACTGAGCGTCCTCTCCAAGTGTGTCAGTGCCTACTCAGGTGAGGCAGCAGGGTGCCTGACCCCAAGTTCTGGGTGTTAGAACCGCACCCAGGAAGAGATCAACTCAGCCTCCCACGTGCATTCTGCAGGTACAGAGACAGAGGACCACTCTGACTCAGACCAGAAGGCCCTGGGTGTGATGGGGCTGGTGCAGAGGGACACATCCCTATTCCTCAGAGACCTCCGCCTGGGTGCCTCCTCGTGGCTCAACTCCTTCCTGGAGCTAAGCGGACGCAAGACCCAAAAGTCCTCACTGCCCACAGCAGGTGAGTTCCAAGGCACCCAGCCAGGACAGCCTAGACAGACACCTCAACACAGCATTAGCCCCGGGACACATGGGCTACAGGTACCTTTCCTGGCTTGCTCTGCCCTTGGACCTACAACAAGCCAAGCCCTAGGTTTTACCCAGCAGATTCGATCCTATAAATTCCCAGATTTATTGGGATCTCACAATCCCAGGAACTGCCAAAGTGGGGGGAAAAAAACTCTTTCATGGCCAGATTTACTGGCTCACATCTTTAGTCCCAGAGCTTAGGAAGCAGAAACAAGATCTCTATGAGTTTGAGGCCAGCCTGATTTACATAGCAACTTCACATTCCAGGCTAGCCAAGGTCATATAGAGAGACCCTGTCTCAACAACAGCAATAAAACCAGTCTTCAGGGGGCTGGGGAAGAGGCTCAGGAGGCAAGAACCTGAGTTTGGATCCCCAAAACCCTTGTAAAAGCCAGGTGTGTGGTGCATATCGTAACCTGAGCGCCAGGTGGGCGGAGTCAGGCGAATCCCTGGGACTTGCTGGGATGCAAGTATGGCCAAAAGCAATGAGCTCTGGAATCAGTGAAAGACTCTGACTCCAAAAACAACGTGAGGGCTGGTGACATGGCTCAGTGCCTGCTGCCAAGCCTGACCTGAGTTCAGTCCCCAGGATTCATGTGTTGGAAGGCACCTCCACACGTGCACACCTACACACAAGACAAATAAAAGTGTAATAAGAGGGACAAACCCAAGGTGGGTAGTGCCCTAAAAAATAACACCTGAGGGTGAACTCTGGTACACACACACACACACACACACACACACACACACACACACACACACACGCATGCGCACGCTCGCACCACAGAGAGAATTATTCAGTTCACGTGTGTTTTACTTTAAGGTCCTAATGTTAGAATCTTCGGGTAAATGCAGACACACATACACAAGTTAAAATTGAATTTGAGGCAAGGGATCATTGAGCCCTGGAAGGGAGGTTCTCTGTAGGAAAAAGGTCCCCAAAAGGTGACCTTGAAGTCACACATTCCAGCCAGATTCAGATGCCATCAGTGCCTCTCTGGCTGCTAGGTTAATGGACAAATATCAGCCTGGCACACAGGTGCTCTTGGAAGACACTAGAGCACTAGGGTCCCCTGTCCCGTGTCTGCAGTTTTGTCCCAGTGACACTGGGTCACATAGAACCCAAGCCATTACATCGGTCCGCATTTTGCATTTGATACAGGCAAGTTGTAGGAACTGAAAGGTAGGCCCATGCGTAGTGCTGCACTCTTGAGGCAGGAGGATCCCATTTTGGGCAAGCTGGAGCTACAGAGCATAAGCCCTAAATCCATAAGCAATGTGAATCCAATTAAGTTAACATCATCTGGGCATTAGCTCGCCTGGCTGCTCAGTGGAAAGGGATACAACGGAGATAGACATGAAGGACATCTTGGAGTACAGAGCTACGTGGCTACAGATGCAAGCCCCCTGGAGAGTAACTCACCCTGGAGACTGTTAGCTGCCCAGCTGTGTGAGCTCATACATGCCCTGTAGTTAAGCGGTCATAAAAGGCTGGCGGAGCCTCCTGCTGGGAAGCCGAGAAGCAACTACAGCAGTGGGACATGCTGCCTGGGCAGTCAAACCTTAATACCAGCCCAGGGGGTAAATACCATCGCCTGTCTATAATCCACCTGTGAGGGGCTGGGAGCTGGCATGTGCAAAGCTCCGCGCTCTATCCCCAGCAGCAGAGACACCAAGAAGTCCTGATACATCATGATCCCAACGGAGGGAATGATAGATAGTTAACCCTGCCTATCTTAGCCCTCTGAGCTCTTATGTTCTTATAATTTATAAGCTAAGCTGTGTATCATTTATACAGAGGGAAAGAAGGAAGCTCCCAGAAGTTGACTGATTTACACCCAATCTCTATACATGCACACCCTGCCCCACAACACAGCCTCACCTCCAAAACTACCAGCCTTCCGATTGCAATCTAGGACACACAACCACCCCCCCCCACCCTAGGGTCCTGGACCTCCCTGCAAAAACTACTGCCCTACCGACCTACCCTATCTGCCATCTGCACGCCCTGGTGGCAGCCAGGCTTATTATCTCTTGGCCTCAGAAAGCCTCTGTGTTTGTCCTTCCTCTAGAGGCCCTGCGCCCCACAGAGGCGATGCGCAGGAGTGTGTCTGAGGCAGCCCTGGCCCAGCCTGAGAGCTTGCTAGGCACAGATACCCTGAAGACTCTGACGATAAAGGACTTGAGCCTTAAGGACAATTCAGAGACGTCAGACACCCCGGAGATGTCGGTGTCAATGGAGACTCTTGGCCCCTCCACGCCCTCCGATGTCAACTTTTTTCTGCGTCCTGAGAGTTCCCAAGATGAGGCTGAAATCAGAGACGATGTGGGCTCCATGGACAGCGGCCCCCGCGTGCGCGCTGCCTTCCCTGCCGGTTTCCACCCTAGACGCTCAAGCCAGGGTATCCTCCACATGCCCCTCTACTCGGCACCCATCGTCAAGAACCCCTTCATGTCCCCTCTGCTGGCCCCTGACAGCATGCTGAAGACCCTGCCGCCTATGCACCTCGTGGTAAGAACACGCCTGGCAGGCTGCCACTGGAGGGCTGGGACATGGGTGCCCGGGGAAAAGAGCTAGCAAGTTCTCCGAAGCTAGCCAGACCAGGAAGGCTATTGTCTTGCACTTTTATTGGGCAGAAGGTTGGGGCGTGTGGAATAGATAAGGGCGAGGCTAGGTAAAGATCCAGGATTCAGTTCACCTAATTTCCTCCTGTTTCCCACTCCTCCACCTGTTCCTTCCGCCCGCTCTCCCCACTCCCTATCCCCCCCCCCCCGCCTCTGGCCACCTCCACATCCGTGTCCCCGTGCTTTCCGCTCCCTCCTACCCTGACCCCGACTCTATCCAGGCATGCGCTCTGGACCCCATGCTGGACGACTCGGTCATGTTCGCGAGGAGACTGCGCGAGCTGGGCCAGCCCGTGACGCTGAATGTGGTGGAGGACCTGCCGCATGGCTTCCTGAGCCTGGCGGCGCTGAGCCGCGAGACCCGGCAGGCCGCGGAGTTGTGTGTGCAGCGCATCCGGCTCGTCCTCACCCCTCCTGCCGCACCGCTGAACTGATCCAGAGCTGGGGACGGCGGGGGGCGGCACTAAAAGACCTCTTGCTCCCATCCGCGCAGGCCTCCGTGATGAGTGCGCTCTAGGCCCCTCCGGCCCTCCAGGTTGGGCTGGGCGGGAGGGGGCGGGCTGTGCCTTAATTTGGGACCGTAAGTGGGGCTGGGCAGGGGTCGAAAGCTGAGCTTGGGGGAGGGGGACGCGCACACACCTGTCATCGAGAGAGCTGGACATTCACTTCACCACTGCCTTCTACTGCTGCTGTGACCGGCCACGGCTAGTCGATTTTGTCTTTTGTAAATAAAAATTATTTAATTAGTTAGGCCTTTTTAAAAGTAAGGAACGTATTTGCCCAGCAGGTGGCAGCACTGGGTTCAAGCGGCCTCGAAAGGGGAAACTAGGATGTGTGGACCAGGACTGGAACTTTGCACCATAATCACCAAAGATGCAAGTTGTACCTGCCTGAGATCATCTAAAGCCTCGGAAGCCTGGACCCTGGGAGGCCCTGGGTTTAGGGAGACAATTTAAACCCAAGGCCTGCCCCTAGGGCTACTACTGATCCTGGGTTCAGAGTCTGTGCAATGATGGTCAGAGAAGCTTTCACAGAAGAAATGGCCTTGGCCTTAAGAGTGCAGGGCTGGAGAGCTGGTTCACTGGTTAAGAGCACTAAATGCTCTTCTAGAGGACCCAGGTCCAATTCATGGAAGCTCATAGCTGTAACTCCAGTCCTAGGGCCTCTAAAGCCACCAGGTGTGAATATGGTGCACAGACATACATGCAGACAAAACATACATGCAATTTAAAAACAAAATAGGAGCACAAACTTGCTAGGCAGAGAACCATGACAGTAAGTAGTGACCAAGGCTTCCTCCATAGCAGAAAAGCATATGTAAAGTGAGGGATTGGGAGGGGCCTGGATTATAATCTGAGCTGTGGCCATAGGGCAGCTTGGATCCTCATGAGGGTCAGAGTACTGAAGAGCTAAGGCCTTGGGGATGCACTGGAGCCCTAGAGGCAAAGGACAGACTTGGGGGGACAAGTTAGGCTAGGCCTGGGCTAGGCCATGAGGGTAGGGAGCATCCCAGAGCCAGCAATAAGGCTGCAAAAGCAGGCCAGTTACGGTAAGGATTGGATTATAACAGAGAAAAGATACAAGCATGACTCTGAGGTCTAGCCATGACGAAAGCCGACAATGAGACAGCGAGCAAGCGAGCTGCCCAGGAGGCGGCTCAAGTGCCCTTGAAGAGACTGGGGGTAGAGCATGCTCAGAGATTACTCCATGAGACACTTTAAAGGGACATCCGGGAGACTGGAGAGGCGGGTGGGGGCTCACTCTAGCTGGAACAGAAAAAAAGAAGAAAAACTAAGGTCATTCTGGAAAGAATAGACAAGGTCGGATTGGAGGGGGGCAGAATAGACTGAGTCCTGAGGCATGAGGCCCACAATAAAGAAATGGTTGTGAGAGGCCACTGTTGGAATGCTCTGGGGATCAGCTGGAGAGGAAGTGAGGCAGGAGAGAGGAGGCTGTAAAAGAAGTTTCCAGAAGGAGGGAGTGGTCCATGACAGATTGAAATGCTATCCTGGGGCCTCACCCATGAACCAGTATGTGATGTCACAGACCGTGTCCAGCGTCATGGGAGGTTGGCATCCAAATGTGGTGGCCTGAAAAGGGAGGAGGAAAAGGGACTGAACCAGTGAGCACCACATGTCTGCAGAAACTAAAGGGACGAGCTCGTGACTGACAGGATCTTGATGGAGTGGGGAGCAGAGAAGATGGGAGAGACAGACACAAAAGGCACAATCGGTTTCTTAGAGGTGAGGGTAGCAGAGGATCCCCTACCTCAAGGGCCCTAATTTACCCAGGTATCCAAACCTGATGTTGGAGCCTGGGGGTGGGGGGGTGGCACACGCCATCAATCCCAGCACTCGGGAGGCAGAGGCAGGTGGATCTCTGTTAGTCCGAGACCAGCCTGGTCTACATAGCAAGTTCCAGGACTACACAGAGAAACCCTGTCTCGGAAAACACCTACCGTGGAAATCCAGGTGTGGTGGCTCACACCTAGAGGCTGAAGCAGGACTACCATCCGTTGAGGCCCCCCGGGCTACATAGTGGATAGTGAGGTCATTATGTAGCCCAGGCTGGCCCCAAACTGTAGCCCAGAGTGAGACCCTGAAAAACAACAAAACCCGGAAAGGCTCATCAAATATGGTCCCCGAGATGAACAGCAGCCCGGGGCCTCACCTTGGGGACCCCTTTGTCGTCATAGCCCACCCACCACACATTCAGCCTCTAACCTCCCATCTCTGCCCAGATCCAGGCTCCATCCTCTTCTCCCTAGCACTGGAGAGCGCCACCTGGTGGTCTATTGATGGAAATTCCAGAGCCCACCCATCCCTGGCACTAACACCATCAATGGCTCCTCGCTTACGCGCGCGCACGAAGTTCAAGATCCTCACTCTGGTTGGCGCTCACTTCCCTCTTCCATCCTCACAGCTCCCCTGGCATTTGCCGGAACAGCATGGGTCTTCTTTTTTTTCACATGTCGATCCCAGTCTTCTATTTGGGCACCTAAACACGCACAGGCTGACACCCTCTCCCAACCTCTGCTGCCACCTAGTGCTCTTCCAAGAACCAGCGCCAGTGGCTCCACTGGAAATTCTTTTCTGACCATGTCAACCCGTCAAAAAAGATTCCTGTGCCTCCCCACCCCTTCACGACCTTAACCATCAATGCCTCCCCTCTGACCTGAGCTTCCTTGAGGGCAGGGCCCAGGTCTGATTCATCTTGATCACCACAGTCCCTGGCATCAGGCCTGGCACACCAGAAACCTAGGAAATGTCCAAGTAATGAGTGGGCACGTGAGTGAGCGTTGAGTGGATGGTGGATGACAGTACGAGAGTGAACCGTGAGTGAATTCATGACAGCAGGAAATGATGAACGGAGGGATGCGCAGGACAGGCAAGGAAGCTAGAATCGATGGGTGCATTTCTAAGGTTGCTCATCCCTGAACTCAGTTTCTCCAATAGTTCCCTCCCTTATGTCCTCCTCTGCCAGCTATGTCCAGAACCCCAGTACTGGTCATTCTGGATAGGACTTACCTGAACCAACCAGAAGAGCTGGTTTCCTTAGGAACCCCATCATCCTTTAGCCTAACCGACCCGGTCCCTACGAGGCAGGTCCCCTGTCTATTGGCAGATGGCCGAAATTGGCAGAGGATGACGTCTTTCAGAGCCTATTGCTGTCAGACAAGAGTTGAGGCCCTGCCCATTCATGAAAGCTCCCATAGGGAGTGTCAGGTCCTCCTCTGGAGAGAGTTCAGGCTGATGAGGGTGTGGTCCGAATAACCAAGAATAGAGTTTTTGGCCTCCAATACCTGGAGTGTTTCCAGGCTGTCTATTTCTTTTCTTTCTTTCTTTCTTTTTTTTTTCCCCTCCCCTTCCTCTTCTTTTTCCCAGCACTGGGAATTGAACCCAAGGCTTTCTGTATACTAAACAAGGTCTCTACTACCGGACACTGAGCCTTACCCTTCTTTATTTTAAGACAGCATCTCTCTAAGTTGTACAGACTAACCTTGAACTCACTATGTTACCCAGAGAGGTCTCTGGTACTTGACCCTGCCTCCAGAGCATTTAGGATTACAGACATGCAACATTGGGTTTTGGTAAAAGAAGCCACACACCGGTTGACCCTATGGAAGCAAGGGCACTTAGGAGCCGGGAGGGGAGAAATTGGTGGTCAGGATTTTTGTGTCTGAGGGTCCAGAGAATTAGGAACTTAAAAGAACGGGGTCCAGGAATTTGAACTCAGCATCATACGAGTCACTCTGGCTTGCCTGCCCTGGATGACAGATCTGGGTTCAGGATTTTATGAGATTATTTGTGGGACTGGGGCCGTGCCTCACCCCCAAGCAAGCCAGGGGCAGAGCTTCCTGCAAAGGGGACCCAGAATGGGAGGGTCCTTAAGGATAACACAGAGACGATGATAAAGGAAAACAAAGAAACCAAAGGAGAGATAAAAATAATAAAACAATAATAACAGTACTCTTGACCTGAGTTTACTGTGGCCTGGGTGTTCTGCCCTAAAGCATTTCACGTAATTATCCAGTGTTCTCAAGATTCTAAGCGAATGGAGCATCATTAACATTGTCAGTATTATGATTATCCCCATTTTACAAGTGAGAAAATTGAAGTCCAGGGCAGGACAATCAAGACATCAATATAAGTTTGTGTGTGTGTGTGTGTGTGTTAGTGTGTGTGTGGGGAGCATGGGCGGGGGGAGGAGGACAGGGACACACACAGAGATGTAAAGAAAACACAGAGATGGAGACAAGACTGACAGATAAGGCAGGCCAAGGGAAAAAAAGACCTACAGTAAACAAAAGGGGAGGGGATCTGAAACCTGGGCTCCCCGGGAGGTGGTAGCAACATATTGTAGGAGACTAGGACTCGGAGAGGCAGAGCCAACAGATGAGGACTTCCTGGTATTTTTCCTCCCTGACTCCGTGGCTTCAGCCTCATCCAAGCCTTCTTGCTATGGGTGCTGAGCCAAAAGTTGGGGTCAAAAATAGTCATTAGGAAAAGGCAAATATGTCATTACACCAGCAAGAGGCGATAAGAAAATGATTCACAGGGATACTGCAGTCTGGGAGGGGCCTTTCCCTCACAGCCTCTGCTCTTTAATTTGGACTGGGGACAGGCCCTCCCTCTCCCAATCTCTGTTCCTCCATCACTTAGAACTGCTGGCATAACACATCACAAACACAGGTAGGGCTCCCTGGGGGGCAGGAAGTCCTAGTGGACTTCCCTCCAGTCCGTGAACACTTGCGCCTTAGTCAGAGGCCTCGAGACGTGTGTCAAAGACTCCATAGAGATGGGTGGGTGGATGGATGAATGGACGGATGGACAGACGGATGGATGCCACATCTCTCCAAGCTCTTCCCCACCGTGCCATTGCCTGTGTGTTGCCATTACGGAGCATCTCCTTTCACCTTCCGTCCACAAGCCACTGGAGGAACCAACCCCAGTGAGCAGAAATGAGTCCATTTTGGGAGCGCTCAGCTTCCCAGAGTCCCCAGGGACTGAGGTGTTCTCAAGACCGCTACTTCAGACACAAGACAAGACCACACCAAATGAGAGCCCTCCCTGTCCAAGTCAGGAGTGAGCTTACTACACAGGGCACATATTAACACCCTAAGCACAAACAAACGATAAGTAAGTAAATAAATAAAAATGTAAAACCGGTCCCACAACCACAGAATCACCTGCACTTTCAGAAATATCCTCGCAATGCAGGCGAAACAGACACCCCAGCGTGCAATTACGTGACTAGCCAGCCGCTGATGAGTCTGCTGGGAGGAGCCTGCACAAGGCACGCGCTTTGGTCCCTTGTATCCAGAGAAACAGGCAGCAAGCACAGGCATTGCCATCATTGCCGTAAGCACCGTGTGCCCTGCCTGTTCCGGCCTTTCGCACCAAACTTCTTGCCTCAAAGCTCTCAACAACGCCATCTGGTACAGATGAGAAAACTAAGGTCAAGAGGAGTTTGACAAACGGGGCCCCCAGTTTTCACAGCCAGCAAAAAAAAAAAAAAAAAAAAAAAAAAAATTGTGGGGGCGGGGAGGCTGACAACCTGAGTGAATGTAAAGAGGCAATCGGGATTTCCCAAGGTTGAGTCTCAATCAATAAGGGTAAATAAGCTGGGCACACTGGTACATGGCTGTGATCCCTGCACAGACGCAGGATGATTAAAAGTTCAATATGAGCCTGGGCCGCGCAGCAAATTCCAGGCCCCGCCCCCCCCAGGCTATATGACTGCTGAGGAGAGGCTAGAAAAATCCCTGTTTACTCCCCAACAGGGAGGGCACAGGCAGACCAAAGAAAGAGTCTATCAGAAACAACTTGACAAAAATAGATACATTTATTAGGGTGACTTACAAGCCTATGGTGACTCACGCAGTGGCTGTCCTGAAAGCCTCACCCTCTGTCGACCGACCCTGGCTTTTCTTTCTTCTAATGTACTTTATTTTATGTGCACGGAGGTATCAGATGCCCTAGAACTGCAGTTACAGACAGTTGTGAGCTGTCATGTGGATGCTCGGAGTTGAACTCAGGTCTTCTGGGAGAACAGCAAGTGTTCTCAACCACTGAGCCATCTCTCCGGGCCTGATGCCTGCCTTTTCTATATGCTGGTATTTCTAGAGTTACGTATAGCTAGGGCAGGAGGCATGGTGTCTGCAATCTCGGGGAAGTGTCTTGGGGTGATCTTATGACAGCTTTGTGACCTCCTCCTCCCTCCCAAAGGGAATGTTAACAGTCCCCTTCTCCAGGAAGATTGCCATGACATCAGGCCAAGGTCACAGGTCACAGGTCACCGCAGCTGCTCTGCTGCACGATGGCTGGCAATGGTCATCAGGACTCACAGAAGGGATGGTGAGGTTGCTCACCTGGTAAAGAGGTTTGCTGAGTCAGAGACCCTGGCTCCACCTCAGATACTGGTGTTGCCCTCTGGCTTCTGCATGCATTCTCTAAATTCTGCTTTATATTAGCGTGTGTGTGTGTGTGTGTGTGTGTGTGGTGTGTATCTGTGTGTGTGGTGTGTGTGGAGTGGGTGTGGAGTGTATGGTGTGGTGTGGGTGGTGTGTGTGTGGTGTATGTATGCTGTGTGTGGTGTGTGTGTGTGCTATGTATGTGGTATGTGTCTGTGTGTGTGTGGTGCGTGTGGTGTGTGTATGCATGTGTGCCTGTGTGTGTGGTGTGTATCTGTGTGTGTGGTGTGTGTGGTGTGTGTGGTGTGTGTATGTGTGTGTGTGGTGCATGTGGTGTGTGTGGTGTGTGTATGCATGTGTGTCTGTGTGTGTGGTGTGTATCTGTGTGTGTGGTGTGTGTGTAGTGGGTGTGGAGTGTATGGTGTGGTGTGGGTGGTGTGTGTATGTGTGGTGGGTGTGGTGTGTGTGTGTGTGTGTGTGCACATGGAAGTCAGAGGACAACTTACATGAGTTAATTCTTTCTACCTTGTGGATTCTAGGGATTAGGCTTTGCAAGCACCTTTAGTACTGAGCCATTTCACTGGTCCAGTAATAAGTTTTTTGTTTTTTCAAGACAGGGTTTCTCTGTGTAGCTTTGGAGCCTGTCCTGGAACTTGCTCTGTAGACCAGGCTGGCCTCAGACTCACAGAGATCCACCTGCCTCTGCCTCCAGAGTGCTGGGATTAAAGATGAGGCCACCACCACTTGGCCAGTAATAATTTTTTAAAAGAGTCAAAGAAATACCTTACACTGCAATGCCATACTTTGTCTCAAACAAACAAAATAAGCAGAGAGTAGTGGTGGAGATACATGGTTCCATCCCTCAGGAAACTGAGGCAGGAAGACTACTCTGCCTGCTCAAGCTACCTAGTATGTTCAAGACACACCTGGTTTTGTTGTTGTTGTTGTTTTGGGACAGGGTTTCTCTGTATAACACCCCTGGCTGTCCTGGAACTCACTCTGTAAACCAGGCTGGCCTCAAACTCACTGAGATCCACCTGCCTTGGCCTCCCAAGTTCTGGGATTAAAGGAATGTGCCACCACTGCCCGGCCACGCCTGGTGATTTTAAGACAAGCCCGGGAGGTAGTTCACATAATGAAATGAACGGGTTCCTAGGGGCTCACAGAGACTGAAGCAGCCTGCGTGGGTCTGCACCAGGCCCTCTGCGTGCGTGCGATGGTGGTTACCTCTGTGTTTTTGTGGGACTCCCGACAGCGGGGTTGGGGGCGTCTCTGACTCTTGGGACCCTTTTCCTCCTACTGGGTTGCCTTGTCCAGCCTTGATCTGAGGGTCCGCGCCCAGGCTTATTGTATGCTGTTGTGCGGTGTCCCTGGGAGGCCTGCTGTTTTCTGGGGTGTCAGGGGCTGGAAGAAATGGAGAGAGGGCAGACTACAATCGGAATGTAGTGAAAACAAAGAGAAAAGGAGAGGAAACAATCCCACATAAAAGACTTCTTCATAGTCACCACAGTCATCATATGACCACACAGAGGGATTCAACACACCCAAACCAAGCGGCGAGTGGCACACCTCGAGCTCCTGAGGCCTCCTCTGCTGCTGGGTTAGTCCTCAAGGAAACAGCAGGCTTAGGATAGAAGGGGGCCCCCACTTGTCCTCTCAGCCAGACTGGTTCCACCAGAGCTATGGATGGCACAACCTGTCTTGCTTGTGAAACCCATGTT